TTTTCCTGTTTATCTTCTGTTAATAAATCCATAACACAAACAGCTTTTCTGACATTATTTAAGACATTAGATAGATCATATAAACTGTAAAATATTAATAATTGGGTTGATATTATTATTAATAGTTTTAATAATTTCTACATCCTCAGTCCTTTTTTCTGCTCTGTTGTAAACATGTACAGTAATGGGAAATCCAGACTCTTGACCGTTTTGCGTTAGCCGTTAGCTTCACCAGCCGATCACACAGTCATGTGGTTTCTGTGCACTCCAGCTGTTCTATATAAACTCCTTGGTCACACCTGACTGACTATAAGTCTCAGGACCAGCCAGAKTATGAAAAAAGTGTGACCTATAGTCTTGGAAAATATGGTACATAAAACACAAGATCAAAATTAGCATAAAGTTCAAAATAGACTTTTTCAGCTTCCTATAACTTAATTCAAAAATGCAGTTTTGAATTATAATCCTTTAAGGAATATTTTTGCAGTCTGAGAAAAATACATTTTTCCCATTAAGTCTTGAGGTAATACTGCCAATGAAATAGTTCCAGTTAAAGTCAAGCTGTGGTTGTTCTGCCTCTGAGCTGAAAGACAGGCAATAACATAGCTACAGCTGTGTTATACGCACTGCCCACCACACAACAATGAAATAAGACATGCTAACCTTTACTAATTTTGGCACGTTCCTCTAAAATCTTTGATGCGGCTTATATATATATTTTTTTCTGCTAAAAGTTAGGCCAAAATCTTTCAGATATTGTAGATCACAGGTATTACCAGAATAAATATCTGATCACATATTCACTAGTCTGACTTTCTTTAAGAGTTTGATTAGTTTAAAAACGATTAAATTTTCACAAACTTCCCTGAGGATTTTGACACTTTAGTTGTTTTTATTTTGTTTCACTTTAGTTGTTTTGTGCTAACCTGAACAGGTCTCGCTGTCAGATGATTCCAGATTTCTGGATACATAATGTTTATAAAATAAATATAAACAATTGCATGKACATAAAATTGGATGAGCACATCTTTTATTGTAACCAAAATCTTTTTGGCCTAACATCTTACTTGTTTCTGTTCTTTTGATGGATTCYTCTCTAAAGACTGGCAGCTCAGGAGACTCTGAAGTCTGCATGGCCTCCAAAGCTGCAGGATTGGTTTCACCTGAAACCACGCTGCCCCTCTCACTTCCCCCCGTGAGTCGGACCAACCAGTGGTCGGAGACTGATGAGCTGGTGGAACCTYCGAGATCATTAAATTCACTTTTTCCGCAAGAAAGTGTTTTTAAAATGCCTAACATAAAAACAGACAWATTTCTTGCTAAAACAAATTGGACAAACCAGTGAGTGAGGAGCTCGCAGACCAGGGAGGGATGGTGCTTCTTTTCTGATATAAAAGGATATACGCTCCACGTGTGCACACCTCTGCTTCTGGAACCGGCTCAGTGTTACTGTCATCATAACTGTACCACTGACCATCCACAGAGTTCCGACAAAAAGCTGCAAATATAAAAACTTCATTAAAAATAAATAAATAAAAAACTACAGATGCAACTAATGAGTCAGGGCACAAACTGATGTCTAAGCCAGAATGAGCCACCAAATGTTGAACCTGTGGACATCCTGTGATATTCTGCAGTGTCTCAGATCAACTCGTTTTAAGGCTGTCTCTTACAACTATATAGCAGTGCTGAAACTTTTRATTTACAAATTCATGAAAAGATGTCAACAAGGGAAGACTTGTCCATCCAGCCTTACATGTTGGAGCCAYAGTCTGACCCAGAGCCAGAGGAGACATTCCGGAGCAAATACTGTCGTGTCATAGTTCAGAAATTGTCATAGAAATTAGAGAAAAGTGATGGTGTTGAAAATTTTGAGCCAAACAGAATATAAATATTAGGGCTGTGAAATTAATCAAGTCAACTCTGATTAATTTTAGTGCTGCATGGGCATAGATTAAAATTTACAATCACTTTACTATGACTGAATATGTAGGTTTGTATATTGCAATGCAC